TGGAAGAGAGAAGTCCCCTTTTCATCCTTGTACAGGTGGTCTAGAGTTACTGACAAGTCACGGGTTTAAGGAGAGTGTCTCAGGAAGCAAGGTAAGTGCTCCAGAAGACACATATGAACCCAGACACACGCACAAGTTGGGAGGCATGAAGAAAAGGGAATAGAAAGAAACATGGGTGAAGGCTTCATCTTTCATAAATGATTGTTCTTATGTGCGGGATCTATTTCTCAACCTGCGCTAACTGTGATTTTGTCCACAACATTCTAGCGAAAAGCTCCTGCATAACTGTGGTTTTAACTTCATTTTTGTCTCCTCAGATGACTCTGCTGAAAATCACAGGTTACTTGAACCTACAAAAAACAGCGGAGTATGCGCACAGCCTCCTACCCAAATTTCTTCGCTCACCGGAAGAAGGCGAGTCTCTTTCCGTTCCCAGCGCAGCCATGGGCTCGTGGTCCCAAGAAACATCTGAAGCGTGTAGCAGCTCCAAAGCATTGGATGCTGGATAAACTAACCGGCGTGTTTGCGCCTCATCCGTCCACTGGCCCTCACAAGCTGAGGGAATGTCTGCCTCTGATCATTTTCCTGAGGAACAGGCTTAAGTATGCCCTGACTGGCGATGAAGTGAAGATGATCTGCATGCGGCGCTTCATTAAGATTGATGGCAAAGTCAGGACCGATATAACCTACCCTGCTGGGTTTATGGATGTCATCAGCATTGACAAGACTGGAGAGAACTTCCATCTAATCCATGACACCAAGGGTTGCTTTGCCGGTCATTGTATTACACCTGAGGAGGCCAAGTACAAGTTGTGCAAAGTGAGAAAGATCTTTGTGGGCACAAAAGGAATCCCACATTTGGTGACCCATGATGCTCGCACCATTCGCTACCCTGATTGGTGTGTCTCAAAGTATTTTGATTTTTGATTCTTTGAGACAGGACTAGCGGCTCATTCTGCAGTTCAGTGAAGGCCCTATGTATCTCTAATGGTGACCTCAAACATCTGCTTGTTCTGCTCTACTGCCAAGTGTAGACATTACAGGTATTGGCCTCCCTCTTCATCTGTCCAGTGCTACAAATCTGTACCAGATACTGAAGTGTGCTGGAGCAACCTCTGTGATTAAGGTGATCCTGAAACCATTTTACAAATTTCATGGAGGGCTTGGAAACAGAGGTTTCTCTGGACTGAAGCGTCCAGCAGCGGCTTTGAAATAAATCCTCATTATATTGTTATATTGAGTACAGAATTTTGGCCTATAGTTCAGGCTTATTACTAAATATCTCTTACATTTAAATTAACCTGTTTCTATTAATCTATGTATTGCCATGTGGCTGTGGCTTTACCAGTTCCCTGTTGTCTTGCTTCTCAGGCAGCTGGCTCCTGTCTTTGGACTCTACCCTTTTTTCTCCCTGTACCTCTGTTTGGCTTCCCCAAACCTGTACCCTTATTCTGCCTAGCTGTAGGCCAAATCAGCTTTATTACCAACCAATGAAAAGAATACATATTGACAGTGTACAGAAGGGTTATTCCATGGAAAGACCTGGCATCAGGAAGTGGAAGAAGAAGGATCTCTGGACTCAGAATTAGTGTGGATCCTCTGAACTCATGTTGTGTAGCTTGGGTCCCTCTTAGCAGATATTCACACCAAGAAAGGTGTCAGAAACTAAAGAACTGGTATCACAGGATGAGAAGTGTCAGTGGATACCATAGTCACTTCCCAAAGCTCAGAGAGACTAGGGACAGAGCCCCTGAAAGCCTTAGAAGAGACAGTCCCTGGTAGAAATGAGAAGGCAAGGAGATGGGCTGACTCTACACAGCCAAACCTCTAGGACCTGATGACAGTTCTGACCAACAGGCAGAAAACGTCTTAGTGTTCTTCATATTGGGTCACCAGCTTTTGTCAGGGCACAGGCAAAAGTCACATCAACACAGATTCAACACAGATGAACAGACACCACATAACCTTTGTCCTGGGGAATGGGATATTGGCTTTCACATTCTGAGGAACATCCGGCTCATGAGAGCCACACAGAGTGACAATCATGGCGAACATAGGGACTAAGAAACCAGAACTAGGGATTGTGTTGGGGGGATTCCTTGGTTGGCAGAGTACTTGTCAGACAACAGTGGGGACCTACATTTGTGTCCCAGCACCCACATATAATGTCAGCGGCACTAGCACACAGTGGTAATCCTTACTCTCGAGAGTACCCAAACCACACAAAGACACAACTAAGAAAGATAGTTACAGACCAATCTTCCTCGTGAACATTAATTCAAAAATACTCAATAAAGTACTGGTAAACCAAATCCAAGAACACATCAGAAAAATCATCCACCATGACCAAGTAGGCTTCATCCCATAGATGCAGGCAGGGATGGTTCAACATACAAAAATGTGTCAATGTAATCCACTGTGAAAACAAACTGAAAGAATAAAAACACATGATTGTCTCATTAGATGCTGAAAAAGCCTCCAACAAAATACAACATCCCTTCGTGATAAAGGTCTTGGAGAGAGCAGGGATACAAGGAACATACCTAAACATAATAAAGGCAATATACAGCAAGCCAACACTCAACCTCAAACTAAATGGAGACAAACTCCCAGTGATCCCACTGAAATTAGGAACAAGACAAGGTTGTCCACTCTCTCCATATCTATTCAATATAGTTCTTGAGGTCCTAGCTACACCAATAAGACAACAAAAGATCAAGGAGATACAAATCAGAAAAGAAGAAGTCAAACTCTCACTATATGTTGATGATATGATAGTTTACATAAGCGGCCCCAAAAATTCTACCAAGGAACTTCTAAAACTCATAAACACTTCAGTAACGTAGCAGGATTACAACTCAAAAAATCAGTAGCCCTCCTGTACATAGATGTTAAATGGGCTGAGAAAGAAATCAGAGAAACATCACCCTTCACAATAGCCACAAATAACAAAATACCTTGGAGTAATTCTAAGCAAACAAGTGGAAGACCTGTATGACAGGAACTTTAAATCTTTGAAGAAAGAAATTGAAGACACCAGAAAGTGGAAAGATCTCCCATGCTCTTGGGTAGGTAGAATTAACATAATAAAAATGACAATCTTTCCAAAATCAAATGCAATGCCCACCAAAATCCCAGCAAAATTCTTCACAGACCTTGAAAGAACAATACTCAATTTCATATGGAAAAGCAGAAAACCCAGGATAGCCAAAACAATCCTGTACAATAACAAAGCTTCTAGACGCATCACAATCCCTGACTTCAAACTCTACTACAGAGCTACAGTACTGAAAACAGCCTGCTACTGGCATAAAAACAGACAAGAGGACCAATGTAACCGAATTGAAGACCTAGATATCAATCCACACACCTATGAACACCTGATTTTTGACAAAGAAGCAAAAAATATCAAATGGAAAAAGGAAAGTATATTTAACAAATGGTGTTGGCATAATTGAATATCAACATGTAGAAGAATGCAAATAGATTCATAGCTATCACTGTGCACAAAACTCAATTCCAAATGGATCAAAGACCTCAACATAAAACCAAGCACACTGACCCTCATAGAAAAGAAAGTGGGAAGTACACTTGAACGCAATGGCTCAAGAGATCACTTTCTAAATACAACCCCAGTAGTACAGACACTCAGCGAAACAATAAGTGGAACCTCCTGAAACTGAGAAACTTCTGTAAAGCAAAGGACACAGTCAACAAGACAAAATAGCAGCCTACTGAATAGGAAAAGATCTTCACTAACCCCACATCGGGACAGAGGGTTGATCTCCAAAATATACAAAGAACTCAAGAAATTGGTCATCAAAAGAACAAATAATCCAATGAAAAAAATGGAGTACAGACCTAGACAAAGAACTCTCAACAGAGAAATAAAATGACTGAAAGACACTTAAGGAAATGGCCAACATCCTTAGCCATCAGAGAAATGCAAATCAAAACAACTCTGAGATTCCAATTTACATCTGTAAGAATGGCCAGGATCAAAACCACTGATGAGAACTTATGCTGGAGAGGATGTGGGGTAAAGGGAACACTCCTTCATTGCTGGTGGGAATGCAAACTGGTACAGTCTCTTTGAATATCAGTATGGTGATTTCTCAGAAAATCAGGAAACAATCTACATCAAGACCCAGCAATACCACTTTTGGGTATATACCCAAAGGATGCTCAATCATACCACAAGGACATGTGCTCAACATGTTCAGAGCAGCACTGTTTGTCATAGCCAGAACCTGGAATCAACCTAAATGCCCCTCGACTGAAGAATGGATAAGGAAAATGTGGTACATTTATGTAATGGAGCACTACACAGCAGGAAAAATCATGACATCTCTAAATTTTCAGGCAAATTTATGGAGCTAGAAAATATCATACTGAGTGAGGTAACCCAGACCCAGAAAGAGAAATATCATATGTACTCACTCATAAATGGCTTTTAGACATAAAGCAAAGAAAACCAGCCTACAATTCACAATCTCAGAGAATCTAGACAACTTTAAAGACCCTAAGAGAGACATACATGGATTTAATCTACATGGGAAGTAAAAAAGACAAGATCCCCTGAGTAAATTGGGAGCATGGGGACTATGGGAGAGGGTAGAAGGGAAGGGGAGAGGAAGGGGAGCAGAGAAAAATATATCACTCAATAAAAACAATTTAAGAAAAGAAAAAAGAAAAGGCAGCCAGGTTTGCCTTGCTAACAGGCTTCACAGTAAAGCATAAACAGGCTTCAGATACAGCTTTCCACTGCACTGACTGTTCCCAGTAATAACTACTCATGTCTCTGCTAAATGATTAGAGGGAAAGAGTGTGTTCTAAGATATGGGAAGGTCTGAAGACATGAAAAATTAACTTAAAACTTGTAACTTCAATTAGAGCTGTTCTGGGAAACAGCACATAGTTCACCATCATCTTAATGAAGTGCAGCCAGGTGGGAAGTCACCGTTTTGACTAGGGATGGAAGAGAGGAATGTCATGTAACTTTACCAGCATTTTGATTAGAGGTGACCACCTAGGAGGAGTGAGCCTACCTAGGAGGTAACAATAGATTTCCAGGATTTTTTGGATTAGGATGGATTTTTGTATAATTCCAGTCTGTCCTGGAAACATGGTTTATGAAGAGAAAGGGTAATCCACTTGGTATTGATTTTAGAGACAATGAATTGTTTACACTGTTGAAAATTGGTTTTGCCTTCTACAAATTGTAGTTGTGCCTTGTTATTCTTGTAATAAAAATGTACTTTAGTTGCATATTAGCAGAACACACAGTTGAGAGATCTTAAACTTCTTAACAAGAAATTTTAAAGTTTTACAGAAAGTTTAAATAAACTGGACATTTTTAAGAAACAGTTTTTCAATTGTTTTTATTGAGCTATATATTTTTTTCCACTCCTCTCCCTGCCTCTCTCCTCCCCTTCTACCCTCTCCTATGGTCCCCCCCAAAAACAGTTTTTTAAAAGCTTAAATTTTTAAAGCTATAGGACATTTTAAAATTTTTAAGATCTTTTATTATGATACCTTTGCTAATATATGATCTTAATAAATAGATAAATAAAAAACTAAAACTTAGGATCACAGCTAAACCCAGAGACTGTGTTCCTAGCTTATGATGCAGTAAGATGTTGACCTAAGCAGTCTGGCAAACAGTCTCTCCTTAACTAAGGTCTATTCAGCTAACAGAGATTGATTTAGGAATATAGTCTAACATCCTTGCTTTTACTAACATTGTTAAGCTGTAGCTAATTTGGTAAACTAAATCATAGAGAAAACTATTGTGTTCTATAATGGTGTACTATAAAAGGATCAGGAAATTTCCCAGTCTCTTTGTAGACAGTGTTTACGAGTCAAAAGACTTATCCTGAGCAGGTGGTGGCGCTCACCTTTAATCCCAGCACTGGGGGAGGGGAGGG